TACTGAGAGACTTTTGACACCCAAGTTTCATGAATTAATGCTTTTTGTCGGACCATAATTGTGAAAGATGTAGTATTTTGAAAAAGTGAGCTACTTCAATTAAGTTGAAGTTCCAATTTTACAGGTTTACCCAATAAAGATGCAAAAATGTTGTAAATAAAATTGAGGATGCATTCAAATATAAAACATAATGTTGTGTTTATAAAGTTGGGGGTCATTATCGTTTAGTCCAATGTCACAGCTTTATGCATCTCTTAAAATATTTTCTGTTCACCCCAAGAAAGCTGTAGGAGATGACTTTAGAAATGAACAAAAACAGGAGAAAAAAGAAGAAACATATATAAAAAAAGAATGATAAAAAATTATGTGCACACTCCTTATCTAGAGCAGTATGAACAAGATAGGACTTGGGATTCTTTGTAAGATAACATGATGAGAGTCATTGGATTCACGAAGCTTAACTCAGGAGAATTCTTTGAAGGGCCTGGTAGTTTCTTCTCAAAGTATATCCCAACCAGAACAGAAAGGGGTTTACTAAAACTCTTATTGAAATCCCTAGTGGGTTTCCTCATCCAAAGAAATGACAATATACTTTTTATGTAAGAACATCTTTAAAATACCAAATTAACTGTGGTGGCATCAACTGCAAGTTGCAGACTCGAGATGTTGGTGGGTTTGATGCACTATGTGGATCCAATGCGGATGCATCACTTCTGATCAGTGATTCAAAAGCGGACCGCCCAACGCCTAGGCAGTCCAGAAGGCCTAGGCGCATCGCCCAGGCCTAAGCGGCCAATCTAGGCGGCAGTCCCTGGGCGGCTGCCTAAGCGGGTGCCCATGGCAGCCGCTCAAGGCCTGCGCCTGACCTAGGCGGTACGGAACCTGCCTAGGCGGGTGCCCTGCCCATAGGCGGGTGCCCTGCCCAGAGGCGGAAATTATTATTTTTGTATTGATTTTTTTTTAAAATATAAAAGGTTAGAATGATGGTTTTAAGTATATTTGAAACCTAAAACTTATTGGAGCCCATTTTAGATAGAGAAAGCCTCCAAAAAACTAGTTTTTGGTGATTTCTTTAGGATGTTTTCTCAAAGTTGACAAAAATTGATCAAAATATCACCCATTGATATTAGATTTATTTTTTGATGTTTTATAAATCTATTGGGGGTTTTTTTAGAAGATTTTGAGTCATTGGAAGCATCTTTGAGGTTGAAGTTTGAAGAGTGAGCCATCAAACTCAAACTAAGTGCCCTGAATACCTAATTTTTATTTTTTATACTATATATCATTTTTTATTCAAATGGGCATCCTTTTTGAATTTGATTGGGCCACCCAGGTTTTGAGCGCCCGCCTAGGCGCTGGCGGCTTGGACCCCCCAGGCCGCCTAGGACCCGCCTAGTGCTTTTTGAAACACTGCTTCTGATGTAGACAGTATCTAAAAAATAATAATGTTGAAGAGTAAAATTTATAAGAATACATGGAATAATATGAATATGTGATTTATGTGATAGTAGTCCTTTTATTTTAGTATTTGTCCATAATATATACCATAGTTGTTGGAAACACCTGGGAACCCGAATCGTTTCACGAACCGGATTCGCAGAATCACACCTGGCCAGAAGTTTCTCATTGTAGGAATCGTTGTCCGTACAATAGGAATCATTGGGAACGAGATTCCTAATTTTTAGGAATCGAGTATCGATCGGAATAGGTCCAAGTTTCATCCACATATGGAATCGAGATTCCGACCTCCTTGGAATCGAGATTCACATCCCCCTGGGTTCGACACTCCAAGTGTCAAGTTTCAGGAATATGCGGAATCGAGTTTCCATCATCTATGGAATTGAGTTCCGACATATGCGGAATCGAGTTTCCATAATTTATAGAATCGTGATTCTCACATATTTGGAATTGAGTTTCCATCATCTATGGAATCGTGTTTCCAACATATTTGGAATCAAGTTTATGAAGTCTATGGATCAGAGATCCATGTTGGTTTGAGATCGAGGATTAGAATAGCAGAATCGAGTTTCCGACATCTTGATTCGAGTGTCTGACATATGTGGTACATAGATATGTTACTGTGTAGAATCGTCAGTCCATGTCTGTTGCTTTATATGTTATTTAATGATTTCAATATTTTATAGGCATTTAAATTAGAGGTGAATAAATAAAACTAACATTATTAATAACCACGTTACATTCAGTATTTCAATATTAAGCAATGTTGCGAGGGTACACATGCTGTAAGATCACTTAAGCAGTCTTTTCAGATAATGAGCATGATTTAAGATACCAAGGCAGTGTACATCACCGCAAATATAAGAAATATTATTCTATGGGCATTTAAATAATTTCACATAACATATGAGCAAGATTAAGAAACCAAGGCAGTTTACATCATCGCAAATAAAAAATAAAAGAATATGTATTGTACTAACCAAGCACTAAAAAAATGTATTAGCATTTAGCAACTAGGTACATTGTAGCATATAGCCAAAGAGAAGTACTTTCAATGGCATCAACACCTAATAATTGAAGGAAATTTTAATTTCTTGGTTTAAACTCCATGCCCCCTGGAACCCTCAATAACTCGATAAAACCTCACCCACCATCCTTCAAAATACAGAACAAAATCAACTCAATGTTTTGACCCAAAAACCCGCGAAGTTTCCTTTAAACTTCGAAAAAAAATCAAATTTGAAATCTTGATTTTAATCCACTTAGAATAAGAAGGATTGGTTCTTGGGAGGTTATATACTGCCGGAAACCAGTCCTCCGTGCATTTTGGGGAAAAGGACTCTTTTAGGCCTTCTCATGGGCATTATTTCCATCCACTAGGAGGGTCGGTGTATGGAGGCATACCATGTGATTTGCTCGCATATGCGGACTTGTGCCGCCTAGGCAGGTGCATCATGCAAGTGTGCCTAAGCAGCCATATGCAGTATGACCAAGGGACGCGTTAGCTTTGATGCAGCCGGATAATGTGTTATGTAGCCGCAACTAATAACTATGGTTACTGTTGCCATACCGAAGTGCAAAATATTATTTTGAAATTTAACTGACTTAATGGTGAACTGAATGTTCCTTTTTTATTTTTCTTGTTTTGTTTTTAGTACTTTTAATTATTCTTTTTTTTTTCCCAAGGGGGCTCTTATCCCATGCTTTCCCTGTTTCCAACCAAGTCCCACCCGAACAAGGGCAAGTTGTTTTGGCGTGAACTACCCAAAGTGGTCTGCATGAGCCTTTTTTTTTGCATATTCTCTCTCTCTCTCTCTCTC